CTTTTTGGAGCAGCCCAGGGCTGCGGTTAACAGCGCGTCGCAACTTTTCGGATTCGGGTGCGGGTTCGGTGGTTCGGGGGTTCGGGGATTGGTGTTCAGGGGACGCGGACGGGGCCAAAGTTACTTTCCGCATAGTACGTAAATTGTAGGATTTTTTGCGGACTCCGCTAATGCTGAGCATACTTTTAGGTGGCTTAGTGGCATTTACACTAATTTCAACTGCAGTCGGACGGCACAGCACAGCACGATGGGGCGATGGTGTGATTTATTTGCCGGAAAAGATTACTTACTCGCCCTGTGGTTCCTCCAGGGTTCCTGTGGGCACGGATGGATGAGAAAGAAGCCTTTTGAAATCCCATTTTGACATTGCTCGGCTCAGCCCCTCGACTCGACTGCCGCTGACAGCGAAATTGAAATCTGAAAACGAATTTATAATTAGTTTTACTGCTACTTTTTACTGGTACTTTTTCTGCACTGCACTGCACTGCCATTACAACTGCAATTCTATTGGTAGTTTTTGTGGGCTAGACTCAGGTTTGTCATTTAAATGAAAATTAATTGGAAAATTCGTTGAGAACTGTCTTTGGTCGTGTGAGAGTCAGAGTGAGTGGCAGATTCGAGTGCAAATGAAGGGTTCGTTGTTCTGGTTTATGGGTCAATACACGTATCTACCAGAGTTGTGCTGCTGCTGCTGCTTTAATGCTACCCCAGGAAAACAGCTTAAGCCAGGCCATAAGAGGAACAGCAAACATTAATTGAAGTGCACTTCCTTTCAATTTTCGCCCAACAAATTACAGAGTATCAACAACAGCAACGGCAACGGCAACGGCAACAGCAACAAGGAGGCATCGCGTTCTTGTTGCTCCGTTTTGCTCTTTCAGCTCATGCTCCTGTTAATTTCATATTTCGAAACATGACACTTTCACACTTTGGCTAATTTAAAAGCATACAAAATTGTTGGTCGACACACGCACGAGGAGAGACCGAAAGCTTTGTTGCTGCTTCCTCGTTTCGTGACGAATGTGCTTTGTTGCTGCTGCTCTTGCTGGTGTTGCATGTGGCACACAAAAGGCTGGCAGGAAGGCAGAAATCCTTTCCGCGCATACGTGTACGTGTATGCAACGTTGTCGCTCGTTAAATTGTCGCCTGACACCTCGCTAATGTCATCATCATCATCATCGCCATCCACATCCACATCCGCAACACCACTACGCCTCGTCCCAGTGTTGTTGGTACTGGTGCTGGTTCTGTCGTCGTCGTGGCCAGGTTAGAGTCTCGGCCACATTATTACTGTAATTATGTTGGCCGTGTAAACGTCATTAGGCGTTTTAGCGGCGGTCACACTGCACAGGCAGGCGGAACGTGCCACAGCCCGAGTGTTGCACTGCCGTACGTATACCAGTAGGTGTTGAATCTTTCGACACGTTCACCGAAAATTGCAGTGGACAAATTACAGTTGAAAGTAGTTGGATGAGTGAGTTGCACTAGGGAATACCTACCATATGCGAGTATCGCTAGAAAATAATCAGTTTTAGGGCCAGGGTCAGGCAGCAGCGAACACTAAACTTTAATTCAATTTCACACAATCGAAAAGATTAAATCGGCTTGCCCCAAAGTCCAAACTTTCACCCATACAAAAAAAAGAAACAACGCCCATCAACAGTTGTTCCCAGCAAAAAGAGGAAAAAGAGGAGAAGAGAAAGCTCCCATTACCATTAGCTGTAAAATTTATGTGCTGGCATTTTTTGAAAACATTTCGTTGTCGCTGCTTTAATTGATAGATAAAAATGGCTGACCATTAAACAAATGCGGACCAGAGGCCGACCAGGCCAATTCATTTGGCAATTAAAACAAGCTGCGGCCAAAACGAGCATCAGAAGAAGTCAGCAAAAAAGAGTGCGAAAGCCTCCAACTGCAACTGAAACTGCAAACTGAAAACTATAAAATGCAAATCAGTTGCATACATATACATATGTGTATGTATACAAATACATATATAATTCATTTGTTAAAACCATTTGCCGCCCATTTGCTGGGCAATTTTTTTTGCGTTTGGCCAGAAGAAATATGTTGTCCTTTTAGGCGTTGACAAATCGACTCTCACACTCATGCCTAAAAGTATGCAACAAGCAACAAGCAGCGCAACGCAAAAAGCAGCAGATGCAAAGCCAAAGCCAGTGCAGGGCAGGGCCACTGCCACTGCCACTGCCACTGCCAAAGCGTACGTGGCGAGGCGGGAATAATAATTTTTGGCACGACTGCCATGTTAACATGTCCCCAGACACGTATGTAGTAACCGTAGTCCTCTGCCTCCTCTGCATCCCCTGCCTCATCTCCCCTGAATACGGTGAACGTTGCATACTTCCCTGCGCGAGTTTATTATGTGCGAGAGAGTGTGTGTGTGTGTGTGAGTGTGTGTGTGCCCTAGCTGCATTTCAACGCCCCTGTCCGGGTGGCTCTCTGGGCTCACGGATTGCCCTTGCGGCTTGTAGAACCATTAGTGAACACGGGTAGCTCTGATTACCCCCAGAGCCACTGTGTGCCCCATCGCCACAACAGGTCCCAACCCGGCAGAGTCTTGGTTGCATTTACATTTGCATTTGCATTGAAATACATAAATACGTGCGCGGCTTTTGGGGCGGCAGACAAATTACTTTTTAAATGCACTGTAAGCCCTTCAATTGTAATTGGCCGTCCTGTGGTCTGAAACTTTGCCAAAAAAGCAGCACAACCATTGAACAGCGGGCGAGGGGGAAAAGAGTGAGAGAGAAAGAGTGGAACAGAGGACCAGAGAACTTTGAGCGAGTGGCATTAAAAAACAATAAAAAATATTTGCTAGAGGCGAACAGGCTAAGGACGAAGGCCCATCTAATGGCGTCACGTTTGTGCCGCCCGAAAAGTGGCATGCAACATGCGATTGCTGCCAAAAGTGCCGCCTGGCACGAGTCCAGGAACAAGGAACAAGCACCCAGGCATCCAGGCATCCCGGGCACTGGGGAAGACCTCTCTTGTTAGTTGGCTTGTTAGTTGGCAGCCAAAAACGGCAGCCTGCTGCCTGTTGCATTCCCCACTGAGGCACGACGACGATTCGTTCTCGTTAGGCGTGCTGCCAGCTCGCATTCGCCTCCTTCTAAGGCTTGGCTATGTCTGTGACTCCAACTGGGCCTGGGACTGTGGGTCGTGTTGAATTTTTCATTTCATTTGGTGGCAGCAATTCACTTGAATGGGATCTTCGTGTCGTCGTCGTCGCAGTCGTCTCCGTCAAGCGGAAGCGGAAGTGAACAGGCCAAACAACTGCACACGTATTCTCATAGCATATAATATTGAAAACGTTTATATTGACTCACACTGACTGCTTGCACTGCCTGACAAACTGCCTCGCAGAATTTTACTGGCAACATAATTCCTTCCGAAAACAGCGTGGATTTTGTGGTCTTTTTTTAGGTTTTGAAACATCCAAAAGCTTTGAGGAACAAGCAGACATGAGCTGGGGATTATTGGGCAATTCAATTGACGTTAATGAATTAATTTATGAGCCTTTGCGGCTCCCTGCGCGCCTAATGTTGAGCCTGTGGCATGGTTTTCAGCTGCTGGTCGGCAGCAATTAGTGCCACAGATTAGCAATGGATAATGGAGGTTTATCGCTTTCCATGGGATTGCCAATTGTGGCTGCACTTTCTTAAAGATGCCATAAAGCATACGTGTCGTTTCTGACGCAGCTCAGAATATCTGTGCTGCTTGCTTGAAGGTTGAAATGAATTTTCACATGATATATGAAACGCTGGCCCGGCCCTGCCACGACTTGAGTTCTAATGTAGCTCATTAAAAGCTATTACACAGGAGCTGCCAAGCATCTGGGGCTATGACAGGACCAACAGAAATAGTTTCACATTCCCAAGAAGCCCCTTGAGTCCACTCCCACTCCCTTACCTGCACCACGGTCTATCCGCTTATGGCCTTTTGCATAAACTCGAGTTTCATATTTCATTAATTAAAATTATGTTCGGAGCAGAGCAGATAACTGCTGTACTACGTGAAGCACCTGTTTTGTTGTAGTCTCATTAACAGCACACACCCAGCCACCCACCCACACGCTCACAACCCCCAAGCCAAGGCAAGGCAAGGCATGGCAGCGGTAGAGGAGAGCTAGAATAATGCAATACAATATCATTGTTACTTTGATTAATGATTTGCAAAATCATAAAAGCATTTCTGCTTCCTGCCAGCTGCCTTCCCCCCCGAAATTCATCATCATCATCAGCACAAGCAGCGGCAGGCAAAAAGGTTTCCTATTACAAAAACAGTCTTAATTAGAACAAAAACCAAATGTTACCGAATATTGGAAATGTCTATTCAAATCAAATTGTCATACGAAAGCTGAGACCTCTTTGGGCGGCATGGGGAGTGCGAAATGTGAAGCCTGCCATTATTATGCTAATTAATTGACATCAAAAGCAAAGAAGAAGGAAGAGTGGCCGGGCCTAGCCGTGCTCAGAGTTCTGAGTGCTTTGTTCCCCCCAGTATTTACGAGTATTTCGAAATCAATGAGAGACGACGACAATAGATGACATCGGAGTCTCTGGGCTAAGGTAGGGTAGGGCAGCAGGTAGTGGGTGGAAGGAAAGCGGATCGGTGCGGAGCGGAGCCCATAAGCTGCTTTCAATACAAATGCAAATTGAAGTACTCGTATGCCAATTATTTTGATATATACTTATTTTTCGTATATAATTATATTATAACAATAATGAGCAGCAGCTGGAGCGGCAGCAGCTCAACAAAGGACTCAAATCGAGGGGTATGGGAACCTAGGCGGGCAGGTGTACTCTTACCTGCCAGTCGCTGTCATCATCACAAAATAATGGCCTGTAATAGGATTTCCTGTTCCCGAGAGAAGAGAGAACGAAAAAAAAAAAAACAGAAAACGGAAAAGCCTCCCATAAATATGCAATGACAGTCAGTCAGCTTCCACTCACCGCGCTCTCGGCCCTCTTATTTTCCAGGGTGCATCCTCCAGCCTGGTCGTCAAATACGCCGACACAGAGAAGGAGCGACAAATCAGGCGCATGCAACAAATGGCCGGCCATATGAACCTGCTGAATCCGTTTGTCTTTAATCAGTTCAGTCCGTACGGCGCCTATGCTCAGGTAAGTGGATGCAGCTCCAGCCCCGTGAACTCCTCCCCCCTAACGACTATGTCTCTCTGGATTCGTGCAGCAACAACAGCAAGCCGCTCTGATGGCAGCCGCTGCCACGGCGCCTGGATCAGCAGCCGCTTACATGAACCCCATGGCCGCCCTGGCAACGCAAATACCTCATGGCCTCAATGGCACCGGACAGCCGCCTTCGTTGCCCTCGCCGACTATGCCCAACTTCAGCATGGGCGCGAACACGCCCAACGGCCAGCCCGGCGGAGCTGCCGCGGCTGCAGCAGCTGCTGCGGCGGACGGGGTCTTCACGAATGGCATTCCACAAACGGCATTCCCAGGACGTAAGTACCAGAGAATCAAAAGCTTCATTTGGGGCCCTCTCACCAATAAAATCAGTCACAAGTTCCCTTTCTTTTACTACAATATTCATTAATCATAATCGTGCTCATTGCAGATCCGCTGCATTTGACTATACCACCACAAGGTCTGCCAAACGGCGATGCTGCTACTCTGCAACATGCCTTCCCTGGTCTGCCACCGTTTCCAGGAGTTGGTAAGTGTCCCCCAGCCGGCGTGCACTAAGTCTCTATCCGTAGCCTTAAGATAGAATATCTAGGTTAGGCACCACAAAAAAAAAAAGCATCAATTGGAATTAGAAAAATCTCCCAAACTCATTGCGTACTCATTCTGCACACTCGAAACATTGTTGCCTTGTCATTTGAGTCTCATAATTAGCCACGGCATTAGCATCAGCATTGGCAATGGCATTAAATTGGTTCCATCATCACCATAACCATTATCATTTATACCACCAGGTCATGTTCCAAAGAAAACAACAACAAAAAAAAACAAGCCCATCATTCATAATTGTTTTTATCGAAATAAATAATAATTGTTGTGTCATGCCATAAATATATTTTAATTGTTAGTAAAGTGTTATATAACTCTAACTTTTTATATAAATATTTAATTGATTTCCTTTGTTGAACGGAAGCAAGCGAATGTTGGAGAAACGAATTAGAGCGAATCTCTGCTGCATAAATAATTTTCTATGCGATCTGCCTATCAGTAACTAATGCAAGAGTAACGCCGCTCTATTCGAATCGACAACGCTAGCTTGGTTTCTTTTGTTGGCTTTTGATTTGAATATGTTTAACTGAGTTATTTCATAATTTGTTTACCACAAAGATGTGTTGTTTTGATGTTAAACGGTTAACATTTGTTGCATAAAAGCTGAATTTTAAAATTATTTATTATTTTCTGATGGGATGCACTGATGTGTATCTGATGCATCATCATTTTGAAAATTCTTTCTCAAGTCCAGCTTCCCTGATCGGCTGGTATATTAGCACAAATTGGATTTTTCTTGTAAAGTGTGTATCATTATTTGTTTATTATTAAACTATAAAATTACTTTAAACATTTAATTATATACATATGTATGTATACATATATATTACTCGTACGTATACTTAATTGTTGTGTTGTCTTCATAAATGTTTCGGATTTTGTGTAAAAACCAAAAACAAAAATTATTTATATATAATGCAGCCTTCCCCGCCGTCTATGGACAGTTTCCACAAGCTTTACCACCTCCCCTAGCGGCGGTTGCACCCACTCAGCGTGAAGGTAAGCTTTTCATTATTATTTTGTTAATCGAATCCCGTAACCCCCGTATCTATCCCCGCCCACCAAAACCACCCTCTACACATTCTAGTTGGTTCGTTTCCGTTCTCGTAACTCGATATCGTGTTTGATTTTTGCAAAATATCGAATGATACATTAACAAACAGCTGCCAATACTCGTAATTATTTTACTTATTCCATCAAGTACTCGTAAATGTTTCACTCCATGTTTTCCTCGATTCGTTGTCATCGTGAATGTAACACTCACACATACACACGTGAAATACACACACATACATGCAACACACAGACAATTAAATATCGGTCTTCATGGGGCTCGATCAAGCCAATCCTGAAAAGTAATTAATTCCTTTTTGTTTTGTCCGGAGAGAAATTAAATTTAAAACAAAATCTCATAAAAATTAATTACTTTGCATACAATGTTCTGTTCTGTTCCTTTTGCCTTTTGTTTTATTTTGATAAGTATTTTATCTCTTTCCGCAACCCCTGCAAAGGAGAAGAAGGGACGCGAATGAGGACATTCAACCCTTTCGCGTTGGGGGTTTGTCGGGCAAGGCGTAAATCGTTTTTAATGGCTGCATTCAAAGGCATTTTATGCCATCGTAAAAATTACATATAAACTGCTTAAAATCATATAAAGACCGTCGGCGTATTTCGAAGACATTTGCTCATAAAATTTTATGTTTCTTTTTCGGTTCGTTTTGTCTTTCCTCTTTTTTTTTTTTTTGGACAGAGACAATATCACTCTGTCGTCCCCCGGTAAAGCATTATATAATTTATGTCTGTCTGTTGGTATGCGTCTGTATATTGCAATCATATATATGCATATATCTACATACATATGTGTGTGTGTGTGTGTGTGTGTGAGTGGCTACCTGTATGCTAACTATATACGTAACTTGAGTGTAACGTTCTATATTCATATATATATATTGCGCCGTAGTCTGTTGTGTCTCTATGTATACCCTATACCCTAGAATGTACCCTGCATGACACTCGCACACATATATACAGACACCATATCTCATATATACATACACATATATAAATAGAATATACATATTACAATCATATGGTAATGTGGGGGGGCTAGAATACTTGGTAGAGACCTAAGCTAAAGTCTATAGTTTACATTTACTAGATCCATTAAGCATTTCTTGACTAAGCGAACATTAAAGCCTGTATGTATATATCATTTAGCCTGTTCGTTTGGTTATGGTTTTGTTTCCTAGTTTGCGCCGACCTCACAGCGCATTAGTTTTAGTTTGGATCGTCCAGAAAACAAGATCAGCCACAGAACACAGATAACAAGTCACAGATCAGAGCACAAATCAGAAATCGATCAATTCAAAATCAAATTTAAACAAAATCAAACGAAACGAAACGAAATCCATGCAGACAGAACAAGAAAGCAGAAATACTCGTACTCATAAAGTTATGAAATTATGATTTCGCCATCGCTTAATTTCATTGTCTACTTTGTTTCTTTTCTTGTAATGTCTTCTTTTAAGATTTTCTGATGTTCCCAGGATGCTCGATATCCGGTCCAGAGGGCTGCAATCTCTTCATCTACCATTTGCCCCAAGAGTTTGGCGATGCGGAATTAATGCAAATGTTCCTGCCCTTTGGCAATGTGATCAGCTCTAAGGTCTTCATCGATCGCGCTACAAACCAGAGCAAATGCTTCGGTAGAGTCTCAATACACCCCTTACCCATTATATTCAGCTGTAATTAATCAAATGGCTCTCCGCTTTATGTAGGTTTTGTGTCCTTCGATAATCCCGCCAGCGCTCAAGCGGCCATTCAGGCCATGAATGGCTTCCAGATTGGCATGAAAAGACTGAAAGTTCAATTGAAGCGGCCAAAGGATGCCAGTCGACCCTATTAACAATCGGAGTTCCTTAAGTGTAATTCGCAACAACTACAACTACACCCTGGAGCACCAACAACAGGAGTAGTCGCAGGAGCAGCCATGCCACAAACAACAACACACTATGCAACTGCAGCAGCAGCCACTGCATCCACAGCAACAGCCACAGCAACAACCACAGTACATCACTATAGTCGCAGAAGCAGCTTTAGGCCACCATTTCCCACTGACAACTCCACTCATATGCAGTATCAATTCGCCAGCTGGCGAAATGGTACCTACTGCTATCGCTATAGTACCCCCAGCAACATCTCTCCCAGCCCCAACAGCAACATCAGTAATGCCAGCAACTGCAGCAAGGACAACAGCAACAGCAACAGCACCACCAGCAACAGCACCACCAACAACAATAGCAGCAACTGCAGCAGCAGAATGGACGATTCCCAACCACATCCAACTGAACCGGACACGGCATCCAATAGCAACCAGAAGAAGAACCTATCCAAAGTGGAACTAGTCGAAAAACTGTTCAAGTGGCAGCAACAAAAGCGAAAGACCTAAAGCCACCAGGAACCAGCAGCAACCAACAGCAACCATTGACAACTGCGACAACAATAAGGAGCAACTACTGAAAGGGTGAGCCATTGAATTCGGATGATTGGGAATTCCCAATCCCCCAACCACTTCAGAAGAAGATGAAAAAGAAGATCTCTTTCCAAATGGAAGATTTCCCAGAGCTGCCTCGGCGATCTACTTGGAAGGAGATCTTGCGGATAAAACTTGGAACAGCTTACTGATGCTTTACCATTACCTCTTTTCAGATGGTCTTCACCATGCTAAGTGAAAATGATTATAAAAATAAAACTTAAACACATGCAAAAGCGTATGTCAAAAAAACCTAAAAAATAGTAAACAAAAAAATGTATAATAAAAAAAAAGAAAATACTTTAGAGCTGAAATTTAAATAGATTTATATATATATATACAAAACAGCAGAACATACATGCAACTATATATATATTTATTCGATTATACATGCAGCTGAATGCAGTACTTAAAAAATGAAAGAGAAAACCAACAAAAAACAAAATGATAATGATGTTGAGAAGCCCGAAGAAAGAACAAAATTTTTGCCAAAATATCGATTTATTATGAATATATATAGACACATAAATATATATATTTATAGAAGCAAGGAACAAACATTGATATTGATAATTTTGTTAACAAGAGATAAACAAACCACATAACATATGCACACCCAACACACACACCACACACAGGACAAAAAACTTGAGACAAAAACTGACTGGCAAGAGACCAAAATTATCTGGGTTTTCAAATAAACAAAAAAAAAACAAAAAACAAAAAAACGAAACAAATAATAAATTAAAGAAAATAAATAAGAAGGAGAGATACGAGCAGAGCAGCAACCATTTTATAAGAAAAATTGGTGATGGGAATTTATTAAATTAACAAAACGCTGCAGAAAAAAAAAACAAAAATTAAAAAGAAACCAAATACAAGAGAAAAACTATCAAAACTGAATTTGTTAATCTGATGATGATAAAATCGAATGGAGTTGACAGTTAAACGAGTTGGAAGAGTTAGATGGAAGCAGAAGGATTTAATGATAGAGCATAGGCGATGATCGATAGAGGAACATAGCTCTGCAACTTTTTAGCATTTAGTGGTAAGCAAAAGGCAAAATGTTCTATATATGCATATACAAGTATATATATATATATACACACATATATATGTATAGAATTGTATACATATATGTGGTGTGTACGAATGAAAATTAACACAAAAATTCGAATTTAATTAATTTTAAGTAAAACAAAAGGATATAAGAAGTTAGGAATAGACTAGCTCAGAGCAGGCCACTTAATATGCGCAATGCTTTGATGGCTACGTGGAAGAATACGAATGAGGAGATGGAGATCGATATGGTGAAGGAGAAAGAGCGCAATACTGTGAGGTATATAGTGCTACTGGATAGGTGGAGGCCCAGGCCAAAGCCCCAAAGGGTGTGCCTGGCCTCGCCGCAAAGCAAAAATATCATTTTTTATAATATATAAATGAGAAACTAATTTAACATCATAATATGAATTTGTTAGAGCTATTAACGATAATCGATAAATCGAATAGAGGAGTAAACACAAAACTAGAAAAGATAAATTAATACAAAACTCTGAAGCGATCACTTGTGTTGGCCTGAGAACTCTGTTGGAGATATTCTTCTACAATACTAGTTTGCAATTACGAATTCTGTATTTATGTTCGTTTTGTTTGCAGTTCGTTTGAGAACTATTCGAAAACTAATGAAAATCGTAATCGATTTTATAGTATAATAAACTAATATTTGTATAAAATCAAACACACAAAAATTTTACACTTAAACTTAGCTGCTTGCAACAAAAACAAATACAGGTACTTACAAATATACATACATATATATATATATGTATATAATGAAAACAATGCAAGAAACACTAAATAATACTTCAAATATATGAGCAAAGGGATAAGCTGCAAAAGAAAATAGGAGCAGATGAAAACCAAAAATTTTGCTAAGAAAGTATATATACATACATAACTATAAATATATATACAAACAGAAAAGCAGAAACCCGAAGATTTTGGCCACTTATTTTCAAACCCAGCTCCAAGAACCGAACAGAATACATAAACAGACCCAGATAACAAAACCGTTCAAGTTGACCATAGCGCGCCCTAGCCCGACTAAGCAAACTATTTAACACTTAGAACTTAAAAAATGATATATATGATTAATTATTGATTATTATTACAATATATGGACAACAATTAAATTAGCATTTTTATAAAAAAAAAAAAAACAAAAACAAAACGAAAACGAAAAGAGCAACAACATTTTAGCAAAACTAGAGAATTGAACACGTCATTTTGAATTTAATCAACGTTTTGGCCTTCGTTAGACACTCTCTCATATGGGACACACCCCAAACACATCCCGAACATACACAAATCTAACTTATTATTATCATATAAAGTAAAGAAAGGAACAAACAAAAAACGGAGATCTTTATCCAGCATTAACTCAACTAAATGCAGTCTGTTGAATTAAACCGTTACCAATTTGACTAAATTAGCAGCAAAACTTGTACAAACGGAAGGGAAGAGAAGCGTCAAATCTACAGCTAAATATGCCAAAAAGTAAGGATATTGATGGGAAAAGGAAAAGGATGCAGATTAGGTTGAGATAAACAAAATGAACAATTATTTAGAGTTTGTATAGAGAAAACAAAAACAACTACGTTTAGAGTCGCCTAGTCTGTGGGTCCTGCAGCGGACCCGAGTGCTCTGCATTCGGGACGTATTTGATACTAAAGATATGAAATTTAATTATTAACAAATATATACATACATATATATACACATATATACATATATTTAAATTTATAAGAAACAAGAAAGGGAAATTGTTATCAAAGTTGAAGTTAGTTTTGTTACAAGTGCATAAAATATATATCATTTTGTGCAGATCTATAGCTATTATCTCATGAGTTCCCCTCTCAGCAAATATCAATATCCAAATCAGTTTAGTAATGGTTTCAGTTTCAATTACCACTATTGCCATTCAGATTACTAGTATGGGACAGTATTACGACTAGATAGATAGGATCTCTAGTCTGCTAACCCAGCCCAGAAAAAAATGGCAAGTATTATATATATCAGAGTTAAATTCGATTCATTTTACTCCTCTTTTCACACAAAAAATGTTAAGTCTCAGAAGGAGATATCTTGTAAATATAGAAAAGGAAAAGGAAACCTAGAAGCGGATGAAAGTCCCACACAGAAGAATGAAACGAATGGAAATCGCAGTTATTTAACATACAAATACATAAAAGTATAACTATCTACATACAAACATACAAATACAAATACATATACAAGTACATATACATACATATATGCAAAATTATCAAATTGATTTAGAGTCTATCCAAAAGTAGTTGAGCAAGACACCAAACAATTTGACAGCTTCAAAACGAAATGGATGCTTAACTAGAATTTTATTCAGTCGTCACCCAAAAACATAAACAAACAAACACACAAAACACACATTATACCCACACTATATGTATTTACGATCTTGTATGAATCGATCTAGTCAAATTCAAGTTAATTATTGCATAATGAAAACTAAAACCTTAAAGAGTAATGAGAAGATCAAGATCCGAGTCAAACTATTGAGATAATAATGGATTACTATTATCATTATTATGCATTATGATTATTTTATCAGATTATTATTATGATTTCTCCATGTATTGAAAATACGAACATGTATTTGGATTTTGGAATATATAAAGCGATTTATTATTATTACAATTATTATTATTCCATGCTATTATACATACAAACGTTTTAGATCATGTACAATATACAATATACTTATTATTGAAGCGGATTCAAACTTAGAGCAAAAACTGATTTTGGCAAAATTATGCGAATTATATACCAAGAGGAGAAATACTAAAACCCTAAATTATCCTAACTATTATTTCTAAAGCGTAACACACAATAAACTAAACTAACACTAAACCAAAAGAAGCAAAACAAATAAAAGAGAAAACAAATTGAAACCAGAAAAATACAATGCAACCAACCTTGTTTTATTTTCTCATTATTTTCGGAGTTCGCGATACGCGACTTGCGCTTACTTTCAATTGGCGGAGACCAGGACTGGACTGGACCAGAAACAACAACCCCAACCAACACCTGACAGAGAATTTGGCACATTCCATTTCCATTCGTATATCATTTATCATGTTCACCCTTAAGTATCATTTGATAAACCAAAAAAGAAAAAACACAAAAGGGCTGTGACTTGAACGTTTAATAAACACAAAAATGTTAACCAAAATCAAATTCATTTATCGGTTTTGTTCACTTTGCTTTGGTTGATCATTTTATAGAGCGGTGATAACTAGCTAACACGAAAGCCAAATCAAAATTAAATCGGTAATCGAATAAACAACAATATAACCTAACACTAAAGTCGCTTATTTCAAATTCGAAATGAAATGTGATGAAAGCTAAACAAAACATAAGATATAATATTATAAAGTAAAAACATATGACAATTTCAAATTAAACAAAAAAAAACGAGAAAATAAGAGAAAAGAAAGACAATTGTACCTTGAGCATAAAGTGTAAAGATTGGAACTCGCAAACAAAAATATTGCTAGGCCGAAATAAATGCAGAGATAACCAAGAACGTCACCTAAAATTGGACAGGTTTCGCCGTCTCGATTGAAAATAACATTCAAATTGGCACATTTCTTTGCAAATTTTGCCAAAATACAGTTTATTCCGCGCAGCACTCATACATGCACACAACCACAGACAGTAACTCCCACTCACACGCACACATCATATCAAAAGATCAAAAGATCGAAAGATCGCGGATTATCGAAGTTGTAATCGTAGCTTGGCACTCTTCTCGGCGATTCTCAAGCTGTTCAGCTGGGGAGTGATGAAATTAACGGGACCCCATTGGCACTGCATTTCCTCTCTGATTTGCTCGATTCGTTTAGATTTATGTTATCAGTTTGTAGCCCAACTAGAATAGCCCTTAACTAAGGATAAGCATTGTACATTTACTAAATGAAATGAAGTCTCTTATCGATGATCGTTCCTTAAACTTAAACTATAAGGTATACACATATATGTACATTGTACATATACATATGTATGTATGTATGTGTAAAAAGATATATGTATATGGCGAAGCATAAGCTGCAAATAGATTTTGTCCTATGCATAATGTATTTTTATTATACATAGTGCGAAATGTGGCATTCTTATAGAATGTTTATTACTCTATACAAAACATTACTAAAACTAACTAACTTATTTATTTATTTATATATATATATATATATTGTATACATTATATATATACATATATATTATGCTAGTTAATGACAGGTTAGACAAGGTAGTGAATGAAGCTTACAACACTGACACACAACAACAAGAACAAAAACAACATACAAACGAGAAGAACAACCAAAAACACTGGAGTCCAAGTTTAGAACTTAATAATCAAAAATATATTTAGATACACTTTTCTGCAGGTATTTAAAAGAAAGTAAAACAAAAGCCTAAACTAAAGATAAACGTAATGGTAACGATAACGATAACGATAAAGATAACGATTAATTACGATAGAGACAAGCACTTAACCCCACCATAACCAAGGACTTACCAAAATTGCATACACTAGTTTTTCTATCCAGACACATCTTTACTAACACAACACGGACTTACCACACACTTAACCCACACTTGACATTTGACATTCACAGATCACAGTTACACGGGCCCAAATAGGAGGGAGAACGGCAGTAGGCAGTAGGGATGGTATGTAGTGTAGTGTAGGGTTGGGCAGGCAGGGGAATACTACTATAAATGAGGGGTGCATATCCTTTTTGCTAGGCGTAGAACATTTTGCCTTTGATATATAGAGAATTTTGGGTTTGTTTTTGAATCTGAACACGAGGATACATTTTAGGATACAGGGTAATACATGCAATTAAAACTAAATAAAAAACTCAAATAATCAAATCACTTTGAAAATTGAAAAATGGAGCATTCCGAATTTTTGGTTCTAGTTTCCTCTTAAGCTTTTGCACTTGCATTGTTTTTTCGATTCGGGTACTTTGAAGCTTGAGCAAGATTTTTGAGGCTTTGCTTACCAATTAGATTTCGCTACGATAGGGATATGGATAGGAAAATGGATTGATTTTACAGCAAGATCAACCATGGGCATAGTTGGTAAATGGAACGGCGGCAAAGTAAGGCAAGATATAGAGGATATATATATATATACCTAGGAATATAACAGCAAACAGCAACAATAATTGGCGGCGCTTGTAAGAAAGCTCAGAAAGTGCATTTAAAATACAAAAAAAAATAAAAATAATTACGAAGATGGATAAGAGATTTAAACATTTTTAAAAACAGAACCTAGTCATATTTATATAGGCGATGAATTATATATATATACAGATATATAGATATATATTATACTATTATTATGACAATTATTACTATTACTATGAAACAAACAAAGATTTATTAGCGAGCTAAGGTCAACAACCAAGCATTACCAGTATAAACCAATTTTGCAATTATACAAACCAAATCGGGTGGAATTGGAAATGGAAATGGGAGTTCGGTTGGAGCCATTGGAAGAAGTACATAGTAGCGAGGGAAGGCCCAAAGTTATTTTTTGTAGATAAAACTGTTATCCTTTAGCACTTAGCCAAATGTTAGATCGAGGTACGAGATACGAGGAGATGCAGAGTCGAAAGACACACAGATGAGAGCGAGAGCAGCTAAGGATTTAGAAACCAAATGGTCAAAGCGAATTTATATTGTACATAGGCACCAACAACCCCCAAACGAAGCCCCATGGATGCGAGGGTCTAATTATTACAGATTACTGAATAATACAAATACATACATACATAGTTGCTAGTCTAGATTTTAGCATCGACACCCACTCAGACACACCGACACTTACAGACCCACCCTTGAAAATCGTTTGAGTGCAGCTTCAGATGCGTTCAAGAAATTTTTTCCCAGCAGCAGCAGCTTTTTTGTACACTCTATACTTTCCGTTTAGAAATCCGTCCGTATTTAGCATTATGCAAGCACACACACACACAAACACACATACACACATGCTATCGCAAGAAATTTGGTTTTGGTAACGAAGGGCAGTCAATACCGGCTGCCGGTCCACTTTTAAATGATTTGCAAGTGACACAGAGCTATATGAGAATTGTCTTTCCCAACACACCAACCACACCACAAGAAGAAAGCCACACAAATACAATTACCTATCAATAAACACAAGAATCTACATATTGTTTGAGATTTTGAAGAGCACCTTTAACGAAAACAATAATATATTAGCAGAAAAAAAGCAAAACAAAAAATGAACAAAAACAAAATGAGAAAGCCTAACAAGCAAGATGCAGCAAATGCCATTTAAAATTAAGAAAAACTTGCACCTTATACTAGTAGAGTAAATGTAAAAACAGAAGAAAACGATCCTGGAGTGGAATCCTTATCAATATTGTTTGAGAATGATTAGGCGCCAATCCAACAGAATTCGTGACTAGTTCCTGTCAAACTTTCAAGAGAAAACAAAAGGAAACAAAACAACAGAATCAACACACATAAATTAAATATTAAATGTAAAATGGTTTCAGAATCAAAAAAGAAGAAAAATAATGAACTATGAAATAAAGCATAAACAGGATCACTCACTCACCATGTGGACATGAAACTGTTAGAGCGTGTTCCTCAGATTTCCCTTGTCTTTGATTTGAATTCTCACATCGAATGCACTTTGTACCCATATCGAGCATTTCCCAAGTCACAAATTCTTTCGAATACGCCACAAAAAAAAAACAAAAAAAACAGTCAAGGAACCGGAAGTAGAGGCAAAGGCAAGCACACATCTACTCGTAGAAAAATGCAGATATACGTATATATTTATATTGCAAAAATTTATATTTATACACACACACACACACACACACACACATAAAGTGCAGAACTAAATGGGAAGAAAAGAAGGTACGAGTAATGGGAAAATAGTCAAAGTAGTTGATGCGAAAGACAACAGAGAGAATTAAATAACTTATTTAAAATAGCAACCAAAGTCTTTATATAACTATATATAAATATATATGCTATATACTAAACATATGTGTACATTAAATACAATCTATGAATAATGAAACCAAAATGGCGAAGTGTGTAAAATTTGTGCATTCGTTCATGGAAACAAAAGGATGAAAGTAAACACCGAAAAACATTACAGATATATATCTAAATATATTCAATACGGCGCTTTCCGCGCTGCCCCGCCACGCGGTTGGCTGCTGGAAGCCCACAACACAATTAAATGCTATCGAACAAGAAACTATTAATTAATTATGGACAAAACTATAAATATTTTAATACTCAACGCATTATTAACAGAAAGTATATTTTAAACATTATTTATACGCCATACAGCAGCATACAATACATACACAGTAAATAAATCCAGCATATTAATAGATGAGTACATAACTACAGCCACAATAGTGATCAACTAGAGAAACCCCAACATCCACACCCACACACAAAAAACATACACACACACCCATACACTACCATTATAAAAGATTTGTTCCCTTAAGAGAGTACTTTTTCAAGAACACACACTAAACCCGGAATAGAACTGAACAGCAGAAGCAGAAGCTAAAGCAAAAGCTAAAGCCAAGTTAGGCCAAGAGTGCGGCTTAGAGCTAACAATAAGGGGAAAGAAAAGAGGAGCGGCATACATTATAATAACACAGATATCAAGAAACCCTAGGATTAATTATTGCCAGTTTCACAGTGAGGGCAAGCAAATGTACATTTTGTTTAGTTTGCCAAAACTGGGCGTCGCTGATGGGCGACATAGGAACGAGAATGAGGATAAGGTCGAGGATAAAGTGGGAAAACATAAGACACACACACAAGGAGCAGTAAATATAGAAAAAAAGAGAACATCATAAGTGAACAGATAAACAAAGTTATAATTACATTACATTATTATTAATAAATAATTATTATACACGAAAACTTATGCAAAAGTGTACTAGGTATATAAATAAAACAAAAAGAACAACTGGCAAGTTAAACAAAACCAAACAAAACAAAACAAAGAAAAGGAAATGATAAAAAGAAAAAGAAAACGAACAAAAAAAAGAAAAAAATACAAACCACAAAGGTAAAATTACAGAAATGCAGAAATATATATTATATATACTTTATAGACATTTAAACATGAAAACAAAATGCAAAGGAGAAAACTAAAAAATAAAGTTGCAAATAATAAACTTTTACCATAAAAATATTACTCACACCTTTGTTTAATTCACACCACACCAAATTCCATCGTGCTGGCTACTCTGCAAAGCTGCCAGAGAGTTCGTTGGATTTGAATTGGAAAAAAGTGCGATTTTTAAATTCGTTCGGGCCAGCAATTTGCATATTTGTTGTGCAAAATCAGTCGCAATGCCGCCGCCGCCGTCGCAGCCGTCGCGAATTCTACGCGCGTAAGTTCTGACGCCAATATAGGTATATGAACTGGCGAACAAATTAGTGACTGTAATTGTGACTGTTTAAGAAGTTTCCTCGAAGAAGGTCTCTTGCGGTGATTCCGGTGGGAAAGTACTGGGCTGAGCTCGAGATGGGGGCATTGGGCCAGAGCGACCCATAGAACTGCCTCTGCCATGTTTGATGTGCTGTGTGTGCTGTTTTCTGTGAGCAAACAAACCGAGCGTGGGCGTCCGAAGTGGCAGTTATGGCCATAAATACAAATATGTACGTTCGCGTAAGCAGGTATTGAATAAAAATATAAAAATTGCCATTGACTGTCGCTTAATAAACATGCTCGCAGATAGCAGCAGTCTAAGAGTCGCACAGTCGCACAGTCCCAGCTGGCTGCCAAATACTCGTAGATGTGCAATAACCAAAGCTCCGATTCCACCGTAGGTTGGAAGCCGCTGGGTTGGTGATGTAAGCTCCGGTTCTGGCCGCCGTCTAACAGCCGTCTGTGTAGCTGCCGGCGCTGCACCGCAGCATTCTGTGTATGTAGAATGTAAAGCCTCATGCAGAGCAGCGCTACTTGAAAACTTGCCCACCCACAGCCACTGGCCACAGCCAGGCCACAGTCAGGCCAAGCGTCATCGCTGCACAGTTCGACATGAAGTTTGAACTTGCACTCGATGCTACCAGTCGAAAATCGGTCGATGAGGAATGTGATAGACGGCAGTGTTTTGTGACATTAAATAAGGGGTAAGGTAAGGTGAGGTCTGTTTTTATTGTCGATAGAAGACCAAATGTGTAGCTTGAAGAGCGCTGCCCCAAAAGGCGTCTTTTCGTTTACGGACTGTGGCAAACAACTAAGGCTGTGCTTTGCATTTTTGATATCATGTATCTATTTTGAGTACATATTCGACATCCCGCTGCGACTGCGCAGTGGGAAAAAGTGACATAGGCAGACCCCAGACCTACATTGGATTATCCCACTCCCACTCCCACCATTACCAGTGCCAGCGGATGCAGAGATGACCTATATTCCCATGCTCGTGGCCCAAAATAGAGGGCCTCAAACAATTGTCTATTTCGGGCAGTGCTGTTCCTTCCTTTCTTTTGCCGAAAATCATAATCCCAAAGAGGCGCAAGGCAATACTTAGTTGCCCTAACCCAAAGCGCCTAAGGTGCTATTAATAAAATGTCATCAAAATGAACGATCTCTATCTCGATCTCGTGTGTGTGCGTATTTATCAGCGGGAGAACTCAGCTCTCCCACCATGGAGAGAGTAGCGTTAGATGCTAGTGATCGACGGGGCTGTACCCTCTGCTTTGCTCAAACATCTACCAAATATAGGCAATCAGTTCAAAATAGCTCTCTTTGGTGCTGATCCGATTGCAGAACAGAACGTAAAACGAACCAATTTCTATACACCCTGATCTGTTGATTAAATAAACACGCACGATGTTGTGGGGTAGAGGCATGGCCAGGGACAGGGGCAGCAGCAGAGGTAGGGACAGGGGAAGAAGAATGCTCATGAATGAAAAACAGCGAAAAATATATATTTTCGAATTTATCTTCTCTCAATTTTTTCCGCCGTGTTTTGCGTTGGTTTTTAGTGGATTGGATTGGATGGGATGGGATGGGATGTGTTTTGGCTGCTGATTGCTCGGGACGGGGTGGTTTAGTTTATATGGCCGGCAACAAGTTGGATTTGTTCTAAAAATGAACACACGAAATATCTTCGTCTTTGGCGTTAAATACAGACAACGACATCGGTGTCGCGGGAGCACCAACAACGCATCTCAGTCCGAAGAGCTGAGAAGAGCAGAGCAGAGCAGAGGAATTTGATTTTCTTTTGATTTTCCTTCGGTCTCCCCGTCGTTCGCGCTATTTTCCTCTATTGTCTGTGGGGCGTGCTTGCCTTGCCTTGCCGTGCCTTTCCGTTCCGTTCCGTGCTCTCCGCTGCGATCCATCTAAGGAGCATATTCCGAAGAAAAAAAACGATGATTTTCTTGACTTGATTTTGGCCGCAAGTAGTTGCGTTTTGGATGTCACCACGATGTACACGCGCACAGTGGCGATGCTGCCCGACCGACTGCCCGTGGGAGAGTGAAGTGAACCATAGACTGTGACTTGGACTCGAACTGACGCGAGGATTACCAGCCATTGGATAGATCTAAAGACTGAGACGAAGTGAAGCCTGAACGCCCTTACCCCTGTAGGATACATTTTGTTAGGCCACTTCTTTGTGTACAAAAACAAACAACTTGAAAAGGTAAATCCATACTTACCCACCACCAGCCCCCTCAGATCGTATGATCATGGATATAGATTGGGGAATATAGATTTCCGTGTCATTCCCCCAGTGAGTGCGGTTAGACCATTTATGGCCATGCTTTTCGACCAAGGGAATCGAATTTCATGCACAAAAACATTTCTGAGAGAGAGCGAGAGAGATTCGCTGCGTTTCTGTGTGTATATGTGTTGTGCGTGCCAGTGTGTGTGTGAGAGCGTACAGCGCCACTTGCCAGTCGTCCCCCTCAGACATTTAAATAGAATTCCCGTGCTGGCCACCGAACGAGAGCGCACTCATCTCCGTGTCCGTGTCCGTGTCCGTCCCCGTCTCCGTCTCCCTGTTCTTTTGCCGGCGAGCATGATACACAGCAACAACAGAGCAAAACGTGTGTCTCTCATGAGAATCTCTACCTATGTACCTACGTATTTATTTCATATAGGCGCATACATTCCGATCCCTCGTGACATATTTTCCATAAGCAAAAACTCGATCTGATTGCCTCAACTCTCGTTTCTTGTCCGCAGCAAGGATCAGGATGCAGGAACTAACGAGGGTCTGCGAACTGAACAACAACAGCATCCGTGGCAAGGTGGAGACAACAGCCACTCCCCCAGCAGACAGCAATCTGGAGCCGCTGCTGCCCATCAAGCTGGAGCATGACCATGAACTGGCGTCATGGCGGCTGTCCACAACAGATCATGGCCACCTGCGCCACAGCCACACCACCCGACTGCTGTTGCAAGGATCCGACGATCCTTTGATTTCGCATGGCGCCTCCAACGATGCCCACGACGAGGATCATCCCTTCAAGACACTGCTGGCCAGAAAGACGGCCAACCAGGAGCAGCAGCAACAGCAGCAACACAACGGCACATGCAGCCTGCTCACCAAGCAGCAGCTAAAGGCCAACCTGTTGATGGGGAACCGGAAGACACACAGGCCACAGCCCGCACCCCAGCTGCCAGCGCCGGAAGAGCCAACAGCTCCACTCACACAAAAGACACCGCGACTTGCTCCAAGTCAGAGCAGGTCCAAGAAGCGGACGAACTCCGCGGGAGCCATGAAGCTGCGCTTCCATCACCAGGCGCTGCCTGCGGAGTATGCGGCCCACTACGAGGCTACCCAAGGTCGGCAGCCGACCAGACCCGTGCTACAGCCGCCGCCGCCGCCTCCTCCTAGCCAGGCGCACGAAAACGTGCGAAGCTGGCTGAGGAAGATAGCCGAGATCCAGCGCAGTGCAGAGCGCCAGCAACAGAAGCAGGCATCCGCCAGGAAGGACTCTCCTAATATCCGCCCTACGCCTCCCGCCGGAGTGCCAGCCCCCACAAAGGCGCCAGAGGTGGCCCCAAAGCGGGGTGCACTGAAGTACGCAGATCTTCCCTATATGGGGGAGCTCACCCTCGACAACTACAAGCCGCGACGCGGACGCAAACCGAAGAAGGCCGATATCTGCCACCTGATCTACAAAAACTACGGCACCATCGTGCCAGCAACAGCCGCCGTGAGCCTGCCAGTGAATGCTCCTCTGCCTAAGAGTACCGTGCATAGGGCCACGTCCATGTCCACGTCCACGACAGTGATACCGGAGGAGCCCCTGAATCTCTGCCTGCGGGATCAGAGCAGTGATCGCTACTCCATCTCCAGTGGGGACAGCGACAAGCCGACGCCGACGACAACGACAGCCACCACAGACTGCGGCAGCTCCTCCCATCGAACGACGCCCCTGAGTGCTGTCAAACCGCTGACCTTGGAGCTGGTTGGGGGTCACGATCAGCCCCTCGCCGCATCCAAGCTACTGCTGCAGCCTGTGGGGCTCTACTACCAGCAGCTGATGGAGTCCTGCAGTTTGGGAGGCTTGGCCGTGCCCGTGGAGACCATCGAAAAAGACAACCAGCTCTCGCTGAAGATACCCATCCCGAGTGGGTTCTTTGCGAACGAGGCCATGCCCCTGGCTCTGCGGAAGAGGAAACGCTCTGCTATCTTTATACCGCCCATGCCTGCCGAGCACTCGTCAAGCCCCTCCACGGAGGTGAGCATCTGTAAGTTCAAGTTCACGGGCGGGGCCAAGCCAACTCTGCAGGAGAAGAAGATGCTATCGGTGGACGCCGAGGGAAACTATCGGTACTACAACGGCACCGGCGACAAGACTTTGCGGGGCTATGAGTTCATCTCCCGGGATCAGCAGCAGCAACAGCAGCAGCAACAACAACAGCAGCAGCAGAAGCAACCACCAGGACAGGAGAAACTCTATGTGGACATACCACCACCATCAACTGATCTCAGTCTGGAGCTTCTCCAAATACCACCAGTGTCGCCGCTCCTCTCCAGTGGCAATAGCCTTGTGCCCGCACAACACAGTCCCGCCTTCAGCGTTCAGAGTCCGATGGCCCCCGCCGTGTTTCCGAGCCTGCCGCCCGTCAAACCCTCGACTGAGAGCGAACGGAAGCGTCGGAGCTCGCGTCGGTCCAAGCAGCGGGAGAAGCTGGAAAAGACATTCAAGGAAAAGGGCTTCCTCATCCAGACCCAGCAGCTACAATCTGCCGAAGGTGCCACCTACTGCAAGTTCAGGCAGCTCAAGAAGTTCACGCGCTACCTATTCCGAAACTGGAAGGATCACATACCGGATAGTGATCTAGTCAAGCACCAGAGCGGTGGCAGGGAAGATGACGGTGTCATCGACAACCTGCTGGGGCTGGAGAGTCTGGCCAGCCAGGCCACATGAGGCTGTCAACAGTTTTCGGAACCACACAAAGCACTGCCAAAGATTTTTAGGTTTAAGACGAGACGATTGCCGACTATTCCGTCCATGCAGGCTGCACCACAAGATAAGGATCCATGATCCACCAGCCACGCCTCCTAGTCGCTCATCAGTTTTTCATAGTGCCTAACGATGTGTTATTGTTAACAAATAAAGTCAATGTTTAACCTTACGGGCTGAAGGAATGAAGCTCTGCGGCTGAGAGCCGATCCGAAGGGCAAAAGTGAAAGGCATGGTACGTGCATACATCGTGTATTTGTATTTTACAATATATGCGTTAATATATGTAAGTGTTAGTACAAAAAATAAACTCCAAAATGGGTAATAAGTCTAAAAGGGTAAGGCCAAATAGCTTGGCTTTCTCTCCATGTCGTTTGAATGCCATTGCAAATACTTCTCGTTATCGTCGTTATGCTTAATTTCGAAGATTAGGCTTATGTTAGGCTACAGTAAATGTGTTGTATAAATTTCCAAAATGTTTCTGGTATGTTTTAGGTTTGGTTCGCAAATGAAGAGTTTTGATTTCCGATCCGATTGGTGCTTGGAAGATTGTGCGTGCCCAGGTAAATTCTTGCTAATATTGTCGCGCTTGGTCGATTTGGTTGCTTGCTGGTTTCGGGGTGGCAGTACATTCGCCTGGACCCACTGACCGGGCTGGGCTGTGCTTATAACTAGATTAACAATATTTGTAAATGAATTGTGCGTCTTCCGACGACACCAGACACCATTAGTTCGAGCTCATTGAGCTCTCGGGGTCCTTGACCGTCTCCGAGCTCGATGGCTCTGGCACCCTGGCATTCATCGGGCACACGTACTCCGTCCAATCCACATCGCTCTGTCCCTTGGTGCTTTTGCGACGCTTCAGCGAAAACTGCGTCCGCTTGACAGGCTTTAGCTTTGCCGTAATGTTCAACGGCTGGTACCCAGGAGCCGACTCCGCATCTCTCTTGCTCAGGATGACCGGGCGACCTACTAGCTCCTTGAAGTGCATGGCCAAGTGACGACGCAGCAGCGACTTGCTCGGCGGTATCGAGAGCAAGTCGGCAAGCAGATCTGCATTAAACCGCGACTCGTACATCATCAGTGCCCCATGGACTCCGGCCCCTCGCAGATTTGGCGTGTACTCCGACAGGTCGATGGTCTGTAGCCAGCCCATTATGCGATGTGCCGTCCACAGTTCCACGCTGCCCCTGTCCGGACTTCGGCTGGCTTCATCATCGTTACGCACCTTGGTTGAGCGTCGAATCAGGCCCTCGCCATTCCACGACATGCGGCGCATGCATAGAATCCCGGATCTCAGCGAGGCTATATGCAGACAAGAGCTGACATGCAGCTGCGACAGATCCTCGAGCGTCAGACGGTGCAGCATGCGACCATCGACCTTGGCCTGCATGAAATAGTCCTTGTATTGTGGCAGACCAATATCGTCCAGCCAACGCAGCACCCAGGCCGTATCCAAGGTGGCCGCCTTCAGAGTGAGTTCGTCGTACTCTTTGCCCGTGATGTCGTCAATGGCCAGCAAGATCTTTTTTCGGTGAAGCGGAAACTTTAGGTTGAGCTCCCGCTCAATGTCCACCGGCGAGGCGGTGAAGAATGATGCCGTTGGATTGGCCTTCAACCATTTTCTGGGAATCGCAAAGTTGATTTGTGACTCTTTTTCATAAATATGATTTACTTACCGGCAATTGTCCTCGTAGCAAGCTAGTCCAATGTGACAGAGCCAGTTGCACACATCCTGGGGTGTCCAGGAGCTCCAGTGCTTTTCGTTGTCGCTGAACAAAGACGTTTGAGCACTCCATTCGATGCGTCCACCGGCCGTCGCCCGAGACCCGCCGCGACGAAACTCGGGCTCTGCCTGCTCCAAGCCAGTCAGCTCACAGTTGCTGCTATTGCTGCGTCGTAGCTTGCCGAGAATGTTGCGCAGGCCGCGGGCAGAACGCTCCCGCAGCTTGGGCGAGGGAGTAAACTGAGACATGAAGCTGGACGTCATGGCATCGTCCGTATGAGCACTATCATCGATTAGGATTTGTTCGTTCGATGCAAATGCCACATTCCGCTGCTTGCCACTGCTGTTGGCGTTGACATCCAGGGTGCGAGTGTTGTTGTTGTTAGCCTGCTTGCCATGGGATCTTGGCAAACTATGAAACTGCGGCCTTATCTGGTGGCGCAGTGCCGAAGGCGGGGTCTTCGGTGAGCCCATGAAGCCTTTCTGGCTTATGCTACTCAAACTGCCATAGGGTAAACTAGTATTAATCGTAGATCCAGCTCCACCCCCATCGTTGGCCTGTTCCAGCGCTGTACGATGCAATTTCAGTTCACTTAAGGCACTCATCAGCTCAAGCTTCTGCGTCTCGAGAGCGGATCGGGATATCATCTGGCGCTGCAGCAGCTCTTCCTTGTTCCACAGCTGTTGGGTCTTGTCGGTAATCAGACCTTCCAGCTCGATTATCTTATCCGCCTGCTCGGACACCCGCTCCGCCAACATTTGGTACTGCAAAGCCAGACCCTCCTTGTCCCGCTGCAGGCGACGCATTCGCTCATCGGAGTCCTGGCGTGGTATGTGCGTCTCCAGCCAGTCGCTGATAATAGCAGCCGTAACAGGATCCGGAGCCGGAGCAGCCAATCCCACCTACAACAAGAACAGAACCATGTGAGTGTCAAGCGGGTTCGGTTCTTTCGTTGTGACTCACCTGTTGCAGTGCCAAGGCTAATGTTTTTGCTGTAGATAAAACATTGGTGGCCGAAATCAAGTTACGCTCACTTAGCGTCAGCGAAGCACCCGCCCCACCGCCCGGCTGGCCAACCGTGGCCGCCGTACTCGATATGAGGCCATCCATTTGCTGTAATGCTGCCTCAAGCATTTTGCTGCCCTCGGTTGCCGTCGCCATGAAATCCAACTAAAGCCCTTGCTAATGCCCTGATGATCGATGTGGGAACTTATTCTGCGGCTAGTGCATGGTTATATAAGAACTTTAGGATAGGCACGTCATATTGCAAATAGCCGTACGCAAATTTCATTTATGGTTATTAATTGTAGCACAAATTCAGAAAAAAAAAAACTATCACGAAAATAGATGGGGAGCAGTGTGACCTGACCCTAAGAAATATACCGAAATATATACTCTAATTCTCAAAATCTACCGTAAATATACCGAAGATAAAAACCATACAGTATATAGATGTGCCAGTTCAAACAACGAAAGTGGCGCAGCTGAGGTTTCAGCGTACGGTCCCAGGTCTGACTGAAAGCAAGCATGTTTGTTTATACGTGTAACACTCCAAAATATACGATTGCACATACTGTGACTGAGATACCAGGCGCACAAAAATCAGCAGAAGGTCGCTGCTTTTTTTAAATTCTCGTTTTTTCTTGTTTCTCTTTGTATTTCGTTGTTCTCTTTTTTCGTTCTTCTTTTTCTCATTTTCTGCCTCCACTTTCCACCGCTCAAGTGGCAGAAAATCGTTAAATTCAAATCTGAGATACCAGGCTCACAGAAATCAGCAGAAGGTCGCTGGTTTTTTTAAATTATCGTTTTTTCTTGTTTCTCTCTATATTTCGTTGCTCTCTCTTTTCGGTCTAAATTTTCTCATATTCTGCCTCCACTTTCCACCGCTCAAATGGCAGAAAACCGTTAAATTCAAATCTGAGATACCAGGCGCACAGAAATCAGCAGAAGGTCGCTGGTTTTTTTAAATTCTCGTTTTTTCTTGATTCTCTTTGTATTTCGTTGTACTCTCTTTTCGCTCTTCTTTTTCTCATTTTCTGCCTCCACTTTCCACCGCTCAAATTGCAGAAAAACCGTTAAATTCAAATCTAAGATACCAGGCGCACAGAAATCAGCAGAAGGTCGCTGGTTTTCTTAAATTCTCTTTTTTTCTTGTTTCTCTTTGTATTTCGTTGCTCTTTTTTTGCGCTCTTCTTTTTCTAATTTTCTGCCTCCAATTTCCACCGTTCAAATGGCAGAAAACCGTTAAATTCAAATCTGAGATACCAGGCGCACAGAAATCAGCAGAAGGTCGCTGGTTTTTTTAAATTTTCGGTCTTTCTTGTTTCCCTTTGTATTTCGTTGGTCTCTCTTTTCGCTCTTCTTTTTCTCATTTACTGCCTCCACTTTCCACCGTTCAAATGGCAGAAAACCGTTAAATTCAAATCTGAGATACCAGGCGCACAGAAATCAGCAGAAGGTCGCTGGTTTTTTTAAATTCTCTTTTTTTCTTGTTTCTCTTTGTATTTCGTTGCTCTTTTTTTGCGCTCTTCTTTTTCTAATTTTCTGCCTCCAATTTCCACCGTTCAAATGGCAGAAAACCGTTAAATTCAAATCTGAGATACCAGGCGCACAGAAATCAGCAGAAGGTCGCTGGTTTTCTTAAATTCTCTTTTTTTCTTGTTTCTCTTTGTATTTCGTTGCTCTTTTTTTGCGCTCTTCTTTTTCTAATTTTCTGCCTCCACTTTCCACCACTCCAATGGCAGAAAACCGTTGAATTCAAATCTGAGATACCAGGCGCACAGAAATCAGCAGAAGGTCGCTGCTTTTTTTAAATTCTCTTTTTTCTTGTTTCTCTTTGTATTTCGTTGCTCTCTTTCTTCGCTCTCATTTTTCCCATTTTCTGCCTCCACTTTCCACCGCTCAAATGGCAGAAAACCGTTAAATTCATATCTAAGATACCAGGCGCACAGAAATCAGCAGAAGGTCGCTTGAAAAGAGAAAAGAAAAGAGAGAGCAACGAAATACAGAGAGAAACAAGAAAAAACGATAATTTAAAAAAAAGCAACGACCTTCTGCTGATTTCTGTGCGCCTGGTATCTCAGATTTGAATTTAACGGTTTTCTGCCATTTGAACGGTGGAAAGTGGAGGCAGAAAATGCGAAAAAGAAGAGCGAAAAAGGAGAGCAACGAAATACAAAGAGAATCAAGAAAAAAAGAGAATTTAAAAAAACGAGCTACCTTCTGCTGATTTCTGTGCGCCTAGTATCTCAGATTCGAATTTAACGGTTTTCTGTCATTTGAACGGTGGAAATGGAGGCAGAAAATTAGAAAAAGAAGAGCGAGAAAAGAGAGCAACGAAATACAAAGAGAAACAATAAAAAAAGAGAATTAAAAAAAACCAGCGACCTTCTGCTGATTTCTGTGCGCCTGGTATCTCAGATTTGAATTTAACGGTTTTCTGCC